ACACAAATTTCGAGGAGGTTGAATATCAAACCAAAAAAAATCAACCAATAACGATGTTTTTTGATTGTGCCAAACACCACGTGTTGTATCGGGAGATCCCAAAAACGATTCATAATTAGTGATAAAGGTCCAGCTTCCACAGTTTCATCAATAATTCTTTTGATGTGTTCCTCCGATATCCCATTTTTTGGGATCAAAGGTTTTGCGTGGGCAACTAAACGATAACATGGATATGAATAACTACAAAATGTAGGTTAAAGCTAAAGTAGAGAAGAAGATCGGAAATCAAAATCACTGTTTTCGTGGTAATTCAGTTGACGCGTTAGAAATCGCACTGTTTCGTTATTTTCGATTTTCCGATTTTCGTCGGTGTTGAGACTCTTGACTGATTGATGTTTATCGAAAAATTTCAAGTACTTGATGTACGCACCATAAAGTTGAACTGTAAAAAGAATATAAAAAATCGAAGAGTCTCTGTTGCTAAACTTCGATAAACGTGTAAAAAGTTGTCTTATTATTGCACAAATGTTTTGCATCATATTTCGCCTACTTTCAGTTTGGTTTATACCCTTCACCGAATGAAATGTTAACGACCACTCGAAAGCATACAGCTTAAGGTTGAAGTAGAGGGAGAAAATAGGAGATCAAAGTGACTGTTCCTATAAGGCACCTCGATGGGTGCGTACAAAACCGTCTTCTTCGGACATTTTAGACCATTTTCAGCAGATTTCCACATGACTCTGGACCCTTGACCGATCGACAGAAAAGTGTATTTTAAAAATATTTGTATAATATCAGCGCGTGAAGTATACTGCCGTGCTAAGGAAGAACGCCGTATGAGTATTCGCGAGTTGCCAAATTTTCCTTGATAAAACATGCATTTTTGACGAAATTTATGCATACTTTTTCTTGAAATTTTCAGACATTTTAGATTAAATTGCGTACGAAACTGTCTGAAAATTTTGGGGAAAAATATTCATAATTTTCCCAGTAAATTCGGTTTTTATCAAAGGAAATTTGGCAATGTCTGGAGGCTCATACGGCGTTCTTCCTTAGCACGGCAGAATACATCAGAGCAAGCACAGACTGCTCACGCGACGGGTCTGCGCCTGCGAGCGCTCTGCAGTTGATATTGGGAACCGAGCTGAGCATTTGATCTCTTCAACTCGGCTACTGACAAGTTTACCCCGCCGCGCTCCCGATACTCTTTTATCGCTAATTAAATCTATAACATAAAACCTATTATTTACGATTAAAATCTAGATTAAATTTATTTTAATTACTTAGGGCTGGGGTCAACTAATCAAAGGATGACGTATGAGCGACTAACTGGCTTACTCGCCTCCAACATTTTTTCCCGTCCTCCGTATACCTTACATCCCTGAAAATTTTAATCTTTCGCATCCATCTTCCAACTACCCCCCCTCCCTTATTTTTGGTCAGAGCCACAGAAGCAAGGAATGAGGCGCTAGACGGATGAGACATTAGATATGTGAGATTACAAATTGCAGCACGACGTGCAATTTTTCTTCGCGACTCCACAAAGAAAATTGTTTACACCGGAAACGACGAAGAGGTTGTTAATGGAATCTGCAGGTTTTTGACAGGTTTTTGCAAATTGCATGTGTAACCACCATAACAAAAATAATAATTTATCTTGGAAAACTATGAATTTTGTCAAAAATGTCAAGCGTGTGATTGCGAAGTTCATTGAGTTGATTTCGCTCTAATTTTAATCAGAATTCAACCCTTTAAGGCAGTATTGATTATGATCATTCCTCCGCAATGTTTGAAACATACTTTCCTATGGCATAATCATCCTAACATAATTTTACTAAATGTTTCTAGAGTAGGAAAACTAAATCAGAAATAAGAAAAAATTACGCTCATTTGCCTGCTTTCTTTCAAAGTATACCATGCATTCGGGTGAACAGAGAATACCTAAAATTTTTAGGTGTACCACTATAACTTTCATACAATGAAATGTCTTTTTTTATTGTTGATCTTCCCTGCGATTTTTTGGGGGGAAGCCAACTATATTTTTTCATGGAAATGAGGAACTGCGAATATACGGTTGAATTTTCTAACGGTAGCGTGGGGAAACTCAACAACGAAACTGTAAAAATATGCCCCGCACACTACTCTGAACAAAATGCAAATTTTACGTTTATGTTCATTCCTAGGGGCTGAGTCATTAAGGAATGGTACCTTACAAAATTTGAGACGACTAACACGTGTTGAACACTTTGTTACAGAAGCACCTTACCATAATAATACACTATATTATACTATAGTAGTACTATCAGAATTTTTTTTTATTTGTAGCCCGAAAACATGACAAGATGAAAACAGCAATAAACTATTGGAAAACAAACAAAGCTACTACCATATTAATACTATAGAGATAGGATGCAAAATGGCTGTAACCTATGTAAGTAATTTTATTTTTTGTCTCAGTTTTTGTAAAATGCTGTTCTTGTTCATTTTATTGTATTTTTTTATACGTGCCTGGTTTAATGGTTGCAATCTACTTGTTTTTTGCACTGATGATGATGGCTGTTCAGCGACCGAAACGTCTGCTCCTTTTATCCTTCAAAAAACGTTTAATAATCATGACAGTTTGTTCGAAGTTTGGACGTTGTTTGACTGGATGACTCCCTCTACATTGCTCAATGCTATAGTATTACTGGATGCCACGGACCCTTTTGTTAATGTATTTCTGTTTTCAAAATTTCGAATGTTGTGAAAAATTCCAGCTTATTCATCGTACAAGAGTAGTATCGCGTAATTTTTATAAACATATTTGATAAATAGAGAAAGGAATGGGCAGGAATTCTTTTCAAACGTTTCAGTAGGTCCTGTTCTCTGGCATTTCATCATCGGATTTAAAGATCGCCCCGGTGTGCGACGATGTCTTACTGTGGAGAGCCCGCGGGTGCTGCATCCTAAATCACACGGATTGTTAGCGATGACCAGATCCAACGTTAAGCAAACAGTAAATCAGTGAAAACGCGGCTTTACGAGTCGGGGAGATTGCGTCGGCCCGGCCGGCTCTGCAGGGCGCGCTCCCGCCGTGAAAAGGAAAACACTTACCTGGATGTGCACGAATGAAAATAAAAATTATTTACATACGTAACTGTTGCAGTTTTGAGCGAGCGCGAATTACAACATAATATTCATATTGCGGGATAGGGAGGCCCTAATTGAATGAGTTGTAGCGATGATTTTCATAGGCATTCCGTTTACGACCTTATACTGGCTGTGTGCTGAGGCGCAGTCACCTGAAACTGTTTTCTTCGACAACTTCTCCACGTACCGGCACAGACCCCAGCGTCAGGGGCCAACATGAAAGACCCACCTTCAGACCTATTCAAATTTCTTATTTGAGGGGCTTGGAGGACAAGGACAGGGCTGAGGAACAATACCACTTAACTCACAGTTTTGCCGGTAATGACTTTCCCGCATTCTTCACACGGGGTACATAGACATATTGTCCGCGTTCCGGGCTCACAGGTCGAAAGTTCCGGGCGTAGCAACCGGAGCAGTCAAAGCTACGGCTCTAGCGCCCGGAGCAAACGGTATGCCTATATATAGCCGTAACTTTTTTTTCAGTGCAGTATTAAATACGCAAGCTGACGTTTTTAGTTTTTTCCAATTCCGGATATGAGAGTGTTGTAAATAATATGCTGTAATTTATAAAAAGCAAATCGAACCTTAAAATTACAGAAATGGCCAAGTTTCTTCTTCGTCTTGCAACATCGTCAGTTTGCAGATATGCAGTGTTGTTCCTTAGCCACAGATAAGTGCAATTTTTGTTATTGTAAGAAATACGTGTTTAAAGTCTCGAAAATACATGGAGACTAATGGGGAAGAAATTTCAAGTCCACTTTTTGATGCTTAAAAATTAGATTTTAGTAGTGAATTTTTTTTAACAGAATATATTGTAAGACTAGTTTTAGCTAAAATCAGTAATATCCCAATTGTTTCAATGTACTTTTGCGACTTGTCCTCTAAGCCCCTCATTTGGTCCCTCCTCCTTCGGGAATTTTCATTCTTCAAACGGGAGGAAAATTAACAATTGTACGATTCAAAATTTCCGTCTTTTTGGATCAAAATGAAAACGATCCATAAGACGCAGACGCCAGACGCCAGACGCCAGACGCCATGCAATCGAGCCATGTTGAGGTCGATTTTCTACAAGTCAATTCTTCGACATCCACGCTGTGCTCTTCTTTACCAAGGCAGCACACTGAAAAATTTTGCGCTAACAACCTCTTCTAATATCTGCATAGAACAAGCACTTTTCATAGCAAGAATGAACACCTGAATCCCAAAGCAGTGGCTATCATGATTGCTTATGCTGAGATGAAAAGTTTACAGGCCAGGACAAGGGCTGCGATGTCGGATTTCAACTAAAAACCGATGTTTACCCCTTGGGATCCAGCCCGTGAGCATGACTAAAACCATCCAACTTGACATCAGAAGACGAGGCATGTATGATGGTATCATGTCAGAGTAATGATAGCTCAGTCGTGGCGCTAATCCCCCCTCCATTCTATGCAAATGCGGCCATGATTAGAAATAAATGGACTTCCTTATCTCGTAATTGACTAGTTTTTGCCTCTGTAAACTCAAGCTCCGGCCGCTGCACTGAACTAGATTCGAGCGACCAGCCTAATTACGCCTAACAAATTTAATTATTTCCCTGGAGTGCGGCTTTGTAATGCGACACCGCAGCACCCCAACACCAACGTTCAATGGGCTATGCCGGCTATATGATCCGTTTATGAGCACGAGGATATTCCATCAAACTCTTCGTCGACCAGTGGATACCTACCTTCTCCCGGGATTTACGGTGATTCGTCAAGGTTTTCGTCGTGGTCGAACATGCGACATCTCGCATCGATTATGTAAAAAATTTCGACATCTTCTGAATTGGTTGCCAAAAAAGGGACGAAAGCCCTGCGCATGAGCCTAAATAATTATTTTTCAATGGAGAATTTGCGTGCAAATTTTGTATTGCTTCATCTGAAAGTGTTTAAAGAGCGGAACTCACAGTATTTTTTATAATTTTTTTCTGATTTGGGAAATAGTATAAAAATATATTTAAATGTGAGGAAATGCAACGCCTATAGTGACGTCATCTTACGGCATTTGAACACACGTATTTTAGCAGATTAGATCTTCTGTCATATCTTCTCCGATAATTGGACGTATTTCTACCGAACAGAACTATGTGCAGGGGGAAAGATGGAGTGCGCTCATCAGTGCTCCGGCCATAAGAATGAATGGGAAATATAAAGCGCCAGTGACGAAGCCGTCGTCGCGCCTCTTCCACCCGCCGCTTAACTCATGGCTTGTCCTCAACGCTCTAGATACATGTCCACGGCTCATACACTGTGCACATAGTTCCGTTTGACAGAACGTGAAATCCCGCTTCTCCAATTCAGCAAACGCAACTGTGAGCCAACTAAGTGCGGCACCCATGAGCCGTGGGGTATCTAGAGCCTTGTGGACAGGGCTCATGAGTTAAGCGGCGGGTCCAGCTTCCTAGAGCACACCCCATATCTCTCAGCAGCACATAGTTTTGTTTGATAGAAATACGTCCAATAATTGTCCATAAGGAAGTGTTGAATCCCCATAGGTAAAAGCTTCTACCTGTCGCCAAGAGGCTCGTGGAGAGTCTCTTGTTTCTGGTCTCTCCATTTGTTCAGAATTTTCAAGAGCCCTATAGGTTATCGTATGAGCTTCAACACTCTAGCTCTGGATAAAAACTCGCCCATAGAGACATAGGCGCCGACCATATTCCTGGTGCCGGAGAAAGAGGCCCGGCCATGGAGTACACGCCAGTTGTTGATGAACACCACGTTCCCCGGCTCGAGTTTGAACTTCCACTCGTTGTCGGCACCGCGCACAATAGCCGCGAGCTTCCGAAGAGCCGAGTAGAAGGCGTTCGCGTTTGCCGGGAGTCGCGGCGACCGATCGTAGCAGTTGAAGCGGATCTGTTCCAGCTCGGTGGTACCGGCGCGGTGTCGGAGGATGGGACCCGTCGCCCGGTGGTGCTTGGCCGGCTCCAAATACTCGGCCTCCACGTGAGTCCCTGCGAGGGTCGCGTAGCTTTGCGGATCCGTCGACTTGAGTTCCATGGCCGCGTGGAAACCGTCGACCAAGGTGGTTTCTCCGCCCTCTCCGACGTGACGCAAGCAGTGGAAGACCTGCAACCTGAAACAGCGTTCATTCAAAATTACAAGACAGTAACCAAAGTAGGAACAGAGGCAAGAGGTGCCTTTTCCGTTAGTTTGGAATATCTGCCATAGGGAAAAATTGGCATTTGCCTATCATCGATTGAGAATCCTTCACTCAAAAAACAAGTATGGGAAGAGTGACTTACCGGCCGAGTTATGGATCATGGAGCCATGTAATATAGTTCGTGGAGCCATGCTTATAGGTTCACGACCAATACAGTATGGCTCAGAAAGCCATACTGTAACCGGTAAGTCACTTTGGCTAGAAATTATGGATCTCCGAGCCATTTTTTATGGGTCTCAGAGTCATACCTTTTTTTGAGGGATAGTTTACTGGCTGTTCCGCAACGGCGCGGCGTCATTTGGTGGGGGCAGGGTCTGCGTCCTGAAAAGCGTAGGTAAACGAGGAAAATTGATCGAATTGCTGAAATCTTGATTTTTTTTCTTTACTTAGGTATCATGTGAGGGGTCACATCAGGTCACCCCCCCCCCCCAGTTTTGGTGAAATGACGATATTACTGTCCCGGGTGCGCTTCAAATGGTGCTTCTGAGTGCGCTAAAAGGAATAAGGGAAACCGCATTCCTTTTACTGACACTTTGAATGAATTCGAGAAAGATTTAGAGTCCCAGAGACAACTATCACTCATATCCTTGTGACACTGACACTCCCGAAAGTCAAGTAAATTTTATAAGGTTCCGGAAAGGACGCGGGAAGGGTCTTAATTCCGATGAGCCGACTGCAGCCGGTGCGACCCTCCTCACAAAGAGTTCCTAATGCCGTCTATGGAAACAACCATGCAGCTGCAATTCATTTACCATGTAATCGCAATTTATTGGAATCTTTCCCACGTGGGCTAGTGACATTTACTCGGTAAGCTGCAGAAAACTATTGTGATGTGGCTGAAGTTACCCAGCAGGATAGAGGAAATAAGTATTGTCTGTGTGCGGTCCAATCGCTGCCTTGGTATACGCAGTATCATGGTGCTCTAAACTGTCGCCAACTTCCCACATGCCTCCAAAAAGAGTATGGTAAATCGGCGCTAACCTTTCGATCACATTTTGCGTCGCGGATAGCGTAGGTTCAACCTAGAAAATGACAAGAATGAAAAAGGATAGTTATCTTTCAGTCTAGTTGACCATACAATAGTTTATTCGATAGACGCGAATACGAACTGTCTCATGGAGGAAATTGGTATTTGTGCACAAAATTTGTCAAAGAAACACTTTGAAATAACTCCGGAAGTACGTATTCCAAGTGAATACATACTGCAAAACGTTGCTCCTTTTTTCAATTTGCGATTTTTAGTCGGGACTTCTTTATTTTGAAATGCTTCCTTGCCAAATAGTGTGTGCAAATACCTGCGACGCACTACAACATGATGCCATGCCCGAAAATTCTCGAGCAATGCCCTATAATCCAGGAATCATATCAATTAATTAATCAATTACTGACTCGTTCTCCAGAGTCCTGAGAGCCACCTTAAGGAATCACAATAAAATGAACGCAACGAAAGGTAGCAACTATTCGGCCAGCCGAGTGTTGCACAGTATCACGCAAAATTGAAGGCTAATTTAACGCACGAACTCATTGGACCAACTCCTGCGACGGGCGACGGCTAAAGTCGCTGAATTTTAAGGAATAACAATGCTCTAAGCGTGCAAGCAACTATTCGACCACCCGAGTGTGGCACAGTATCAGTCGAAATTGAAGGCGCAATTAACGCACCAATTTACAAGGCAATTCTTTCAACGGCTAAAATTGCTGGATTTTATGTATAAATGTAAAGGGAAAATGTTCCCAAGCTCTCTTGAAAAGTATCAGGTATTTTGGAGTTACGCGGTGTCACACTTTAGTCATCGATATGTTTGAGGCGCTTAAGGCAATTGAAATACATCATTTATCAAAGACATTTTGGGCACAAATAGTACCATCTGATGGGGCAAAAACTCACCAGGTGTGATTGAACATCTTCGATGTGTGATTATTAATTGATACATAATGTATATATTTATAATTATATTAAGATTATGAGCTATGTGGAAACTTCCTACATGATATGTATAGATTGTTTAACTTACGCCTGACACTATCGCCAATCCATTCCGTAGAATTGAATTTGCCACCTCCTCTTGACCCTCTAATTGATTAAATTTTCCAAGACTGATTGCGGTTACCAATGATTTTGCCTCCTCTCCCTTCCAAAGAAAGGGTTGTGGCCATTGCTCCAACTGACTGTACTGTCTCAAGAAAGCGATGTCGAATGTGGATTTGTGACCATCTCCCCCTAATTGAAAAGAAAATAATTATAATTGCCACATCTAAATAAATATTAAACTGCAACGAATAAGTTCCGCACTTGGATTCCTGAATCGTTTTTCTTCATCCGATGCTCATATCCGATGCTTTATCCGATGGCTCATATCAACGTGAGTATCTAGATGGTCTTCTTCAAATGACATTAGTTATTTGCAAAGTCGATATTTTATTTCGATTAGAATCCAGGAGCCCGTAATCCAGGAATCCTGTAGAGAGTCACCGATCTCAAATCCGAGCACATAAGAAACTGATTTTGAGCCCTACAAATTTGTCAAGTTTCAAATATAAATCGCGAGTGAGCTATCAATACCTTTGTTTTGGACGCAGATTTCAAATATGAGGTCAAAAATGCCCTCTGGTCCATTGAGTTGCCCTAAATCATTGGCCCAGAAGGGCAGAATATCAAGGGGAGTCTAGGTTGTCCCATTCAAATTTTTCCCAACAATCAAGATGGTCTAACTTTTGACGCACCTGGTTTGAGTACTCAGATGGCTCGGGTACAGGTGCCTATTGTGCAAACATACTTCATCGATTTTTTTTTTTAAAACAAATTGATCGGAATTTTACAATGAGAGCATGCAGGATGCACCGCGATTTAATGCAATTTACGCGATGTGAATGACGAGAGTTGGTATGATACCGAAGGTGGTTGACCTTTTAGTTGGTGTGATTTGTGGCTAGCACCAGATGAGGTTGCAATATGACTTGCAAGAGAATAGTTTCCAAAGAACATATTACCAGTGCCCAAGCTAAAGATATGTCAAAGTTGTGAGGTTGCAACTAGAAAATATTTTGCATTGTAATTTTCATTTTCAATATTTTTACACATATTATAATTATTACTTACAGGTAAGATGCAGTTTCTCATTTTCAAAGAAATAATGGCAGGCGAAGCAAAATGGAGAAAGGAGTGTAACGTCAATACTTCGTTGTTTCGTCGCGTAATTATAGCAGTCCTTGCACCTGCAAAAATATAGGTACATTAATATGCTTCTGCATTCCTAGAATAAGTATTAATTCCACTTAAAAAATTAAATTTCAAACACTCACTTTAAATACATACCTAAAAAGGTTTCTATTTCCCATGTCTGCTGTTTCTAATGAGAGACACGTAGAAATTTTAAGGCTCCAGCTCTCTTCGCAGAACTCTTTTTCCAAAAAAAATGAGGAATCAACATCCTTGCTGTTCAAAAAATGTGCGAATACCTCAAAATGTTTATCTCAGCTGCTCCTGCTATTAATTTTACTTGCTGGGGATGTTAAGGAACCTCACTTAGAGGGGAGCGGGCCCTTTAGGAGAGGAAGGAGAAGGCCAGACCCAGGTCCAAGCAAGCCTCCCATTTCAAGGGAAATAATTTCCCATTACAAATAATTTTTGCAGGAATTTATCAGGTTTTCAGCGCTCAGGGGGAAGTAAGCCGGGCTCTTACGTAATTCGTGAAGGGAAATGAGAGGTTGATTCTCAAGTGGTTTACATGGGGGTTAAAATTTAGCTAAAGTAGCAGACGTAATGCTTGAACGGCCTTACGTTAAATGCCTCTGCAGTAAACATAAGCACTTTAACACCACCTTTAACGTTTAATACACCATCTCACTTTTTTGGCGTTGATCTAAAAATAAATTTTAGTCCTTCAAAGAGCTTGACTGAGGGAAAATATATTAATATGTTTAGCCCTTTTTAGTAAGACGAGGAAACGCTGAAAGTGGACTCACCTACAATTGTCCCTCAACCAAACTGCGGAAAATTCAAGCGACTCGCCAACTCCATCGAGCTTTACTGTCATATTCATGGAATCCTCAGTCATTGCCTGCCAAGAAACAAAGAAACATTTAATTAAAAATACAGGACATAAAGGAAAGGACCACAAGATGCTGACAATGAATTTTTAACCCTTTAAAGAATCTGTATTGCTTTATCTGACAGCCCACGGTTGTAACTAAAGAAGTTATACTGCGTCTTCGTATCCTTAAGATGGAGGATTGAAGGGCAGAAATGTGCAGATGAGACTGAGTTGGCATTGCGAACTTCTGCACGTCTTTATCATTCATCAGATCAACATCTCGCCTCTTCCTCGCGAGCGAAGCGTACACACATTGCTGGATGGACAAAAGCTCCTTCATTTACACTAGCTGCAACATGTGCAACGGATGAGAGGCAGTAAGTTTCATGAAGGCGTTCTGCGTCGTATTCGTATCATATCTAATCGGCCAAGATGCTTGCTTTATTTGACGTCTTGTCCTTTCTCGATTTTTCAAACCACAATAATTTTCCTTATTATAAAAATTTAAAAAAGTGCACGAACGTTCTAAAAAAACAACGATATTTCTTTTAATCGTGGTGGAGAATGCAGAAAAAATTGCAGGCATTCTTGATCATTTCCTCCAAAATTAACCACGCTTAGGTGGTCCATAGGAATGACCCGCATCTATTTCTGATAAAAGAGTGACACTGAAAGGATAAAGATGCAGCAACATTTAGAAATCATCCGATGAATTATATTATCAAAAGTGCTGACCATTATAGTCAATATACTATTTCCCCGGCATGAGTGATGCAACTGCTAGTGTGGTTTCACCAAGTATTCTGTTTTTTTTTTTTTTTTTTTTTTTTTTTTTTAAATTGCACACTAATAGAATTGACGGTTTAGAATGTCGTAAAGATTTTGATTTGTAAGCTTAAAAATATATTTACTCAAGTTATTAAAAAGAAGAAGAAGAAAAAAAATTAAATAATTTCTGTCTTGAAATTATTGGAACTGTCTACTTGGATGTACGTTAATCGAGACTTGAATAATACATTTTTGCACAAGACATATTTTAAAATTCATTGAGCGTAGACCACCAATCCCTCCTGAAGAGCTAGACACTCCAGTTTGCCCTCCACATCAAGCGGTTAAATCAAAAGATCACTAACCGTTCGTTTTTTGATGCAATCAATAAACTAGCGAATTGCCACTATTCACGTCATCACTCAGCTAAACTTAATTCACGTCGTCTGAGCAAAAAATTCAACACGTAGGCTCCAGTAACGTCACTACGTCAAAAAGTTCCTCCAGGCAGTGTTCGAACACGTAAAATCAATGCTGATTAAGCTATCACTGGGTAATTCACTGTTACTTCTCACCAGATTGTAATTGTAAATCAGCTCTGATTCACACGAGCTCTTTATACAGGGTTATTCAAAAGTCACGCACCACTGGCCGTGAGAAGGGGTGGCCATTTGAAATTTTTAAGTTGCACCCCCCCCCCTCCCCGGGAGGAGGTCAAAAACTGGAAAGTGCTTGAAAAAGTTTCCCACTCAATATGAGGAAAAACGTCACAAACCGCAAATCGATATCTTAATTAGAACTAAAGTTATGGCCAGTGGTGCGTGACTTTTGAATAACCCTGTATGTCGATTTGATAAAGCTAGCACGTGTGTAAGCACGCTGAGCTAAGTTGAATCATCGTTGTTACGGTCAAGATGAAAACATTTGAGATGACGATAATAATTTTGAGAATCCCGGTCTCCATCCTCCAAATGGTCTTAATTGAATTAAAAGAAACTATCTGCATTGTGTAATTAGTCCTATCATGCATGTATTCTAATGAGTTTCAGATCCCATTCTACCATTAAGAATGATCCGTTTGATTGGAATGCATTCAAATATGCGTTGTCCAAGTTCCCCAACACACCGGAGTTAGTATTGAGGTCGCAAAAGGGATTCTTCCTTTCATCAAATCGGATCTAAGTAAAAACAATGCCGTAACTCAGCGATGCAAAGTGAACTTTCACGGAATAAACAGTCTGCTGGAACATGAAGTTTCACTCTCTGTGAAATTTCAACGATTTTCCAGGGGGCTTATGCAACCCGGAACAATTATCCGAGAATTTTTAAGAAATTTGGACTCATGAATTCCCT